TGCTGACAGAGTGGGTGACATCGTCGTAGGTGGATATCTGTTGACGTCGCTGTTGCTGTATATCATGATATACATTCCGCGGCTTGTGTATGCATGTACCGAAGGAGTGCTCCATGGTTGGATGGGTGTGGCATTGGTAGTGCTATTGTGGGAGTTTTCAAGGCGTTTTCTACGTGGTGCTGCTACTGGAACGGTTCTCTGTTGACGGTCAGCTGTTACAGTCATTAGATTCGCAACTACTAGACGCTTCGTGTTGATAATGAACGAGGCCAGCAGTGAGAGCCAAGCAAGGCTGGGAAGGGCTCGCTGGTCGAAATGGGTGACGTGAAGAGCGAGAACGTGTCAGCGGGGAAAGATTGCGAGGCGATAAGAATCAAGGAACGCCTTCCTAGGTCGAAAACGCGAGTCCTGCTCCGATTGGAGCGTGTTCCCACTAATGTCGCTGGTGGTAAGGTGGAATCCGGGTCAGGCCAGGCAAGGCCACCAAGCGATAGTCGGGAAAAATTGGCACGGTACACAGCTAGAAGGTGGACGCCATTCTCTCGAGCTGCGACCGGAAGATCTGCTTGCTGCAGAACTCGCAGGCCACGTCCAAGCAGCTGCGCCCTTCGACACAATGAACAGCGTTCCACGCTTATCGTGGTACGCCTGGCCGTCGCCAAGAGTGGAAATTGACGTTGGACCTCCACGTGGTAGTGGTTTACGGAAAGGAGAGGAGCTTAGTGCCCACTTCGGAGATTCAGTCAGAAGCCCATTCGTGATTTTCCTTCTTACAAGAGAAGTGCTCACGAATAATAACAACAAATTAACATTTATGTGACTATCCGAAGTTCCTACCTCGGCCTGCTGGATATAGTTATGCCGGATGAAAAAACCTTTTTTTAAAAGTGGTCGTTTGAAAAACCTTTTTTTTAAAAGTGGTCGTTTGAAGAAAACCTCTTTTTGTGTTATCAACTAACAATGGGTGATTTTTCTTCTTCAGCACTGAGATACGAAGAAAGCAGCGCGGCGATAGAGTCCCTGCCTAACGTGGTTGGGGATAGGGGAGATGTTGACCAAAAACTTTCCCCGTTTTCGTTCGGATTCGCAAGTATGTTGCGTACGCTTCTTTGACAGATTCTGGCACATGGTGAGTTACATGAATTTCCATGATTTTTCCAACGCTGGAACATCCTATCGCGGTAAGATGTGTCCCGCCCCATTTTCTCCAGCTTCAGTGCAGAGAACATATTCTCTCCAAACTTCCTCTCTTCCTCGCCGTGCTCGTTAGTTTCGACCTTGTCATCTGTCATCTGGTGACTTCGAAGAAATCTCTTGTCCTCGGCAGCGAGAGCATTTGAGGAGTGAGCATCCACGTTCAACTCACTGGCTGATCGACATTTGACACTGCTGTGCCACTTGCAAGGAGGCCGGCTGCAAGAACCACAAGGGTCATGTTGAAAAGACGCATGGTTGGATGGGTCTGGAGGACCGAGGAAAATTGCGGAATGAGAAATGCGGCAGTTGTGGGTTGGCGTCTCGAGTGTCTCATGACGCCGTATCATGTACATGTGGTCTCTGGTCTCTCGTACGCCCCAGAAGTGCAAGTGGATTCGGGGCAGCAGCACTAGCAATGCTATGTTAGTAGCATGTTTGTATTCGTTTTCCAGCCCCCACCTTTATGTTTTCCATCTTCAAGTTTCTCTGGTAAATATTACATGCATGTTTGTAAGCGCGGACATGATGCACTACGGAGTGATGATAGATCTTTGAGGCAGCTGCGAAGTGACCAAAACGTTTTGACTTCGAGCATATTTGTTTGGACGTCTCCCGTATAGTAGGTGTCGGCAACAGCTGGTCTGAGAGACAGTTCCAGGATTATCTCATTTGCAAATTAGGCGAAGAAATAAAAATGTCAGCGTAATGTGCTCCGCTAAAGAAGATTTGCTTTTTTTTCCTCGACTGATTACTCCTTTTGCATGAAATTCAATGATGCTTTGGAAACATAACGGTACATGTACCTACTTTAAGTAGTGCCTAGCGAGTGGATGCGGATGTGATATGATTAGTCCCCCCACAGTAATCACAACTACATGGACAGTACAAGATTTGAGCGTTGTACCTTGTTCTGAACTGTATGATTTAAATTTCAAATCAAAACTAAGATCGTGTTTTAGTCCTATTCCGGAGAGTTCAGCTAAAAAGCTAGGTGGACAGCCTCTCTGTTGGCCTCGTGGGTGACGCGTTTGTAGATTCCATTTGCCCACTCGCACGAAAAATCAATTTTGCATCGACCTTTTTAACACGCCCTATTCACGGTAGTTTTGTAAGCTTACCGTCAGAGCTTTTTGGTTTATTTAGAGCTTGTTCGCTACACACATGCAGGAACCATTCCAGTACATGTACCTACTTTGAGTAGTGCCTAACGAGTGGATGTGGATGTGAAATGATTAGTGCCCCACAGTAATCACGACTACATGGACAGTACATGATCTGAGCGCTGTACATTGTTCTAAACTGTATAATTTAAATTTCAAATCTAAAGCAAGGTCGTGTTTTAGTCCTGTATTCCTGGGAGGCCTGATATAAAGCTAGGTGGACAGCCTCGTAGGTGACGCGTTTGTAGATTCAATTTGTGTCGCCCAATTGCTGTCAACCCAGCTTTTAGCTGACCTCCCAGTATTTTATATTAATACAGTTCATGTACAGTACTCGTGATACTGTGCAATAAGATCCGTAATCCTGATCCTCATTGCTTTTTTAAGTACGTTGCAGTTCAACAGCGACGGCACACCGTCCAATGTACGGCTCTGCCATGTGCTAAATGAGGCTCCCTTTCCAGTTCTCATTCGTGGCACGTGTTTTGCAAGGGGATCCTTCCTTCTCTTTCTCATTCGTGACCAATTGAATTGCTGTTAGCTTTCCCTGAAAACATACCCTTTTATTTTAAGTACAAAGCCGTGCGTCAGCTATTCCGTTTGTTTTGGTGCAACGTTTTGTCGTTTTAACTGGTGCTTCGATCGACTACTTTTAAAATGTCTTCCTCGTAAAAATCTCTGGATAACATTTTATAAAATCCAAAACAAATCAAAATAAACTCCTAAGTGAACCCACTTATCACTGATATCATGTCAGATGGAGTGCATATCAAGGATGTGTAAATTGGTTGTCCGAATTTGCCGCAAGTACATGCACGGCATACAAGTTGAATAAATTTTGTATTGGTGCGTCGCTTATTTTCCTGAAAACTTCTAAATACACGAAGGGCTAAAGGAAGACGATTGTGAACAGCCAGCAGTAAGCCGTTGTAGCTAAGCTACAACGGCTTAAGCTACTATTAATAGCTTATCTCCCCAATCGGTATCCATAACAAATCTAGATTGCATCTGCCATGCTCTCCAACTTGTCTTACTACAGTACCAGCAGTTGTCGTACTACAGTGCTCCAGCACGTAGTACGGCTCTGTCTTCGTCAGACACCTCATTCTGCAATCTGCTCGCACTCTCTCATTTCGAGAACAAGCTCTCAAGTGTCCTAGCTGTTGACCCAAGCGACAACAAAAATGCGCCTCACGTGCATCCTTGCCGTGCTAGTCGCGGTCACTTTCCACGCCACTGGTAATGTGAATTTTGCGGTTGCGGGCAAGGCTTCGAATGAATATGGTGTTGATATGATCATCACGACCGACGTGCATGACCCGCGTTTACTGCGTCGTGTCGGAAACGACGAAGGCGAGATCGTGGAAGAGAGAACCAAAGGCTTCAAAGAAAAATTGAAAGCTGTACTGGAAAAAATCACGCCCAAGAAAAGCTTGGACAAACTCAAGGAGACTGTCGTAACAACACTCGATTGGGTGAGGATTGTAAAGCACAAGACCGATGAGGCAAAGCGACTGGGTTTCAAATAGAGCAAAATCAACTCGTGGTGGGACACCGACTGGCTGGTACGTTTGGTGCCAGGTAACCAAGTGTGAAGGAAAAGAGTGTCAAGGCTCGACCTGCAGTGTGATGTGGTGCGGTTAACCAGCTAATAGCGCAAACATTGATGCGAGCTAGCTTTCTTTACTTTTCTTGCTTCGTTTTTATCGTAGGATTGAGGGGTCACTGCATTGTGTGTTATATGACGGATAGTTCAAGAAGTTGCGCGGTGCATGAAGAAGCTCTGAAATTTGATTGTGGTTTAATTTAATCAACCACTGTCTGAAATGGAAGTAGTATACATTGTTTACTGTTTGTGGTCGCTTAAAACATGTTATTTTAAAAAAGAGAATCATTAGCGCTATCTATCTCGCCCGTAGTAATTGTCCTTCTTCATTTAAGTTTCTGCGTAAACCCTGTTTAAACTTCATATGCGAATCGCACACTGCGCGGTGTGTCGTTAAAAAGGATGTGTCCATAGACGAAAACGAGCAAGGACCGGATATTCTATTTCTTGCACGCACATGCTGTAAATAAAAGCGAAACTACAGTATAAAGAAGAAGAAATACTACCTCTACTCGGAAAAATAAATCACCTTTCCAAAACTATTTCGCATCGCTCCGCCTCCTCTTTTTCATGATTGTAAAGTTTGCAGAGGGCTGCTGATCCTTCTGTAAAACAGGTGCATGCCCAGTGGGTACTGTGATACCAACCTTGCTTTGCCAAACAAGACTGCATTCAAAGAGCTTTGACCTTTAAAACGATAATAGAACCGGACTTTGTTGAGAATTTAGTATGCTCTACAAGTTGAAGCAGCACTCGCATTGGAGCAGCCTCCCACAGGAGGGACCCGGCAAGTGTCCCGTGAGTGAAGGTCGCTGGGGTTTCTCACGTTGTATTTACATTTAGTTAGCTCAGTCTCCATTTTGCAGGATAAGAAACACGTTAGTGTCGAGAGAGCTGAAGGCTAAGTAGTCAATAGGAATTCGTGTGTGCATTACATTGGATTATTAGCTTACGTCGAGAAGTCTCTGCATACGCGTAACAGGGTTATGAGCCCAAGCTATCAGTAAGGATAGTTGTGAGCACTCTGAAGATCCCAGATGTCAAACATGGTTGAACTCAACAAGAACGGACGCCCTATTGGTTGGCATGGCCAATGCTGGGTGTACTACAAGCAAATGATGGAGATCGCGTTCGATGACAAGAACGTTCTCGAGTACGCGAGTAGAACCAAGACGTTGGCTTCCAACGCGACGGACGAAGAGAAGTCGAAGTTCAAGGAGGGCCAAGTCAAGGTGAAGCAGATCATTATGTCCTCGCTGTCGATGGAGCTCGGACAGCAGGTCATGATGAAGAAGACCGGTACAGAAATGTGGAAGTACTTGATGGATACGTACGAGGGTACGGCGAACGCAGCGACCCGTACGAACCAAGAGATCATTCTGTACAACAAGCTTCAAGCTGCTAAATGTAAGCCGAACTGGGACGCTCGTCTACATGTTAACAATATGTTCCTGATAAAGGAGCAGCTTGCTGCTATCAATGCTGATGTAAGAGATCCGATCTTCATAAACTTGTTGATTCGGTCTTTGCCAGCAACCCACGATTTGATCGCCTGAGAGGAATGGTCGAAATCGGAACCAGTGAGGTGGATACTCCTGAGAAACGCAAGGACCAGATCCTGCGAATGGACAGTTACAACAAGTGTGATAAAGAACTTGGAGTTACTGGTGGCAATGGTGCGCACAACCAAGGGCAAGGACAAGGACAACGAGCAGGACATAATCAAAAGCAGAGCTTTGGCATCAGTACGACGACTGAGCTACCAGAAAAGGCGGCTGCTATCGCGACCAAGAAGTTGGATCAGCAGCAGAGCAACTGCTTCAGATGCCATCAACCAGGTCATCAGCAGAAGGATTGTCCGAAGAAGTCGCTGGCATCTACAAATGCGCCGAAAGCCAAACAAGCCACGTACACTAAGCGTCTCGAGAAAAGCGAGAGCCCCAAACAGTCGGTGGCTCCTGTAGTGCCTGAGCAAACTTCGCAAGTTTCGGCTCCGGACACTTCTGCGGTGCCTGTTTCTGGGACGACAGCTACACCAGACATAGCGACCCCCACTGACCACGGACGGCATGGGAATAGTTCTAGAGGTAGTGATCAGCGTGATCACTGTGATGAGGAATATGCTAATTGGGAATGGTGCCTGGACAACGCGGCAAATGTCCATGTAGCATCGGACCAACGTTACTTTACAGAAGACAAGCCATTCTCGGACCAAGAAGCAGACAGAGTACGCGGATTCCAGAAGAAGTTCGCGGCTGTTCCGCTTGGCCATGGAACGGTGAAGATTGAGGTGAAAAACAGTGGACCTGTCGTGATCCTTACTCTTCGAGATGTATTCTTCGTTCCGGATAGCAAGAATCTGCTGTCACACTCGCAGGCTGAGGACCAAGGTTATGATATTGAGTAACATGGACGAAAGGGCAAGAAAGTGTACGAGCTCTGGGAGAGAGATAAAAAGCTTCTAGAAGTGGGCCGTGACCCATTTGGACTGTACACATTTTCTGCGCGGAACTCATTTCTTTCGAAGAACACCAGGGAGAACCCGAAGGTTGAGGAACAGACCTCCTCGTACCAGCCTCCGCCCTGTGTGAGCATCACGGCTGCAGACGGCGCAGCTGATCTGCAGAGATGGCACGAACGACTGGGCCATCTGTGCCCGCAGTTTGTCAAGATGATGGTCGACCATGATCTTGTTACTGGTATGTTGCTGCGACAGCGTAGTTTTGCGGACTGCAAAGTATGTCACTTGGGGAAGCAGAGAAAACCTTCGCCCAAACAGACGCTAGAGCGTGAGATTACGCGGAATAGCCAAGTTATCTTTGCAGACCTGTTATTTCCTCACCAGAGATCAAGTGCCAAACTTCCCAAGGCTGTATTAGGTATTGTCGATGGCTATTCACGCTACACGACGGTCTATCCGTTTAAGTCGAAGACTGCCTCTGAGATGAACACGGCCATGCGACGCTATATCGCTTGGGCTGAGCGCCAGTTCAGCGAATGCAAGGTGCTGAAAGTGATCACGGACAGTGGCAAGGAGCTCGTCAACGAGGAGATAAATCAGTGGTACCAACAACAGGGGATAGCGTTTCTGCCAACCCTCCCCATGGATCGCATCTGAATCTTACCGAACGAGCAAATCAGACATTGACACACATGATGAAGACAATGCTCACCATGGCAGGCTTGCCGAAGCCTCAGTTTTGGATGTATGCTTTGAAAATGGCTACATTTATTTGCAATCGATCGTACTGTCAAGCTATCAAGGATACGCCGTATCGCTTGATGATGGACAAAAAACCTGATCTACATCGCCTGAAACGATTTGGAACAGTAGCCTACGTGCACCGGGCTAAGGACCCGTCGCGTCGAAAGCTAGATAACAACTGCCGTATTGGCTTTGTGGTCAGTTACCTGGAGGGCCAACCAGAATATGAGGTCTATTTCCCAACAGAGAAGGTGGTGCAGCACGTCCTGCATGCGTCTGTCAACGAGGAAATTCTCTACAAGGACCGGTATCAGGAAGGCTACCCCAACAACGTCAAGAACTGGATGTCATCGGTAGATGAAGAACAACAAAGAAGAGACGCACCTGGTAGTACGTATAGGAGCGCCATTGACGAACAGGGTATTGCTGCCGAGAAGGACAACAATTCGCCACCTGATTCGTCAAATTTGCCAGATGATGAGGAGATTGAGGAATTATCGCCTGCTGCGCACACTCACTATGACACTATTGAGTCACCGGAGAGTGACCTTAGTGGGACTAAGGAGTGGATGAGTATGCCATTGTATGCTGATTTCCCGAAATCAAGGGCAGATCAAGAAGTAAGTCGTGCTAGTGAAGACGAAACGATGTCACAGCCCGACGTCTCTTCTCAAATACCGGAAAAGGCTCAAGATCTAACGGAAGTAACAGCTCAAGACGCTGGTCAACAAGCTGAAGATCATGTGAACGGAGATAATACCCCGGAGGAGAAGTCCGAAGAGAGCGAAGATCTTAGCGGATCAGGCGAGCCTATGATCGATGATTCTGCTAATAGTGATGATGAGGCCATGGAGGTGGAACCCTCGCCGTCATCTGATCTAGAGAGCCATATGTGCGAAGAGCCTCATGATACCGATGAACGCTTCGGACATGATGGTGATCCAGGTCAAGTTTCCAGTGAAGAATGCGAGAATTACAAGGGAGAAGGTAGTTCACCTGCTTAAAATGATTGGACGCTGCATTCACCGTGGGATAGACTAGATATAGTGGATGCCTACGACTGCGAGCATCTTGAGCGCTATGAAGCTCAGTATGCAACAGACACTACTGAAGAGGATGCGGGAGATGTATTCGCACTGCGGCGTGAATCCACGGGATTTCAAGAAGAAGTGGAGTACCTGATCATTGCAGTTGATACCGGCAACGGAATGAACACTGTGATGAAGCCCGAAGTACTTACTGGTAATCTACGTTCTTCGCTGGAGGCTGAGCTCGACGATGTGCAAGAGCACAAGCGACTGAAAGACGCCGGAGGACAGCCCCAGCGAATGATCCTTCGATCGGAATCTGAGCGTCATGTTCCTTACCGTCTAGGAGACTACCATCTCTATGCAAGCTTTTGCAGAAGAGAATCAGTCAAAGAATCAGATTTTGGACCTGACGAAGATCGATGGCACATCAAAGATGTTAAGATACCTCGAAGCTTTCTAGAGGCTATGCGCTCGCCTCAAAGTCGTGAGTGGCTAGAGGGAATGGAGCATGAGGTCATTGCAATGTTCAAGAAGGATGTTTTTGAGCTGATCGACGAGAGTGAGATGCCGGACGAGGCGCATCTACTGAGTACCATGTGGCGATTCCAGGCCAAAACGGATGATGAAGGATATGTTACACGGTGGCGACCTCGCTTGGTCGGACGTGGTGACTTTCGACAATTCGGAGTTGATTTTGAGTGGACCTTCTCACCAGTGGCTCGGATGGTAACGTTCCGTGTAGTTGTGGCTATTGCAGCAAAACTAGGGCTCGACTTATACCAAGGGGATATCGATACGGCATACTTGAACGCTGTTTTGAAGATAAAGCAGTACGTTCGTGGGATCCCTGGCTTCCCTTGCCCGAAAGGTCAAGTGTATCGAGTAAGCCATGCCCTATACGGTCTTCACCCGTCTGGAGCAGAATGGTTCAAAGAAATCGACCGCTGGCTAAAATCGATGGGATTCGCGAGTACGCAGACGGAGCCGTGCCTATACGTATACTGTAAGGACGGTGTGTTTGCAATGATTCCGTTGTACGTCGACGACGTAGTACTCGCTACAAACTCAGTGGAGTTCAAGAAATCACTGTTCACAGCATTTGACGAAAAATATGGCTTCAAAGATGGAGGTAAACTGCATTCGTTTCTGGGAGTGCAAGTTGAGCAATGTGACAAATGCATCCGCATTCACCAAGAAAAATACTGCAACGAGATCCTGGAGCGATTCGGATTTGATGGTGCACACGGCAGTGTGACCCCGATGGAAACAACAGCAAAGTATAGTCAAAGCACGAGAGTTCAAGATGAAGAGCCGTCTTTCGATTATCGAGGTGCTATTGGAGCGCTGATGTATCTAGCTACAAGCACTCGGCCAGATATTACCTACTCGGTAGGCTATCTTAGTCGATTCGTTGCCAACCCGACGCAGAAGCACTGTGGCGCAGTCAAGCGTATCTTACGCTACCTGGTGTCAACAAAGAACCTGGGTATTGTGTACTATCTGGGTAACACTGGTGTTGATTCGATTGTGATAAGTGCCCACAGCGACTTAGACTGGGGAAATGACCCTGAATACCGGAAGTGAATCACAGGGTTCGTGATGACGATTGCAGGTGGTGCAGTGACTTGGGCAGATCGAAGACAGACAATCGTCGCGCAGTCTACAGCTGAAGCTGAGTACGTCGCTGTTTGTGAAGCTGCGATGGAAGGTCGTGGGATCGTCAATATGCTGGACGAGGTGCTTCCTGTGATCAACGTTAGCACCAGTTTGGAGTGAGGCATGGACAACAACGCAGCCAATGCGTTGGCTACAGCTCCAACGTATAATAGTCGTACCCGCCGCATTGAACTTCGTTGGCATTATGTACGCGATCAAGTAATGAAGGGTTTGATGGAGATCCACAAGGTCGCAGGCTTGGAGAACCCGGCTGACATGTTCACTAAGCCATTGTCCAAGTGAAGTCTGGCAAAGTATCGTGAGAAAATCGGAATGGCTGCTGAGTTGCAGTCAACTCACGATTGATGTTCCGACAAGTCGGAGGGGGCCGTGTTGTGAATTCAGTATGCTCTGCAAGTTGAAGCAGCACTCGCATTGGAGCAGCCTTCCACAGGAGGGACCCGGCAAGTGTCCCGTGAGTGAAGGTCGCTGGGGTTTCTCACGTTGTATTTACATTTAGTTAGCTCAGTCTCCATTTTGCAGGATAAGAAACACGTTAGTGTCGAGAGAGCTGAAGGCTAAGTAGTCAATAGGAATTCGTGTGTGCATTACATTGGATTCCTAGCTTACGTCGAGAAGTCTCTGCATACGCGTAACATGTGATACCAACTTTGCTGTGCCAAACAAGACTGCATTCAAAGAGCTTTGACCTTCAAAACGATAATAGACCCGGACTTTAATGTTTAAACTGCTCAACTGCGGGTGTGCTTGTTCCACCACATCAGTGTAGCTGCAGGCGTTCTTGTTCGCCAACTCAGCAGCAAGTTCGTAAAGACTACAGAATCCGCGAGCCACTGCAGAGACGTTTGCCTCGAGCATGCGCTAGACTTGATTCAAGACAGAGGATATCGTTGAGCGACAAGCGTGAAGACTTCGTCACGTTCATCCGCTCGATACACAGGTGTTCCGAAATTATCATTGTATTGGAATTTCAATACAATATTATACAATAAATTATTTATTTTTGAGATGCCAGATATCACTTTCAATAAGTTATTTTCACATGGTCGTTCCAATGTTGTTTCTCGCTTACTTTTCTGTGTTTTTAACTAAAAAAAGCGTTTTTATATGGACGGCTTATTTTGACTGCAATTATTTATTTTTGCTGTTGGTTTCAGAAGAACAATATCTTATTTTCAAGGGCTGTGATTATATAGTTGCAATGTTATTATCGGAACACCTGTCGATACAAAGTCCTTGACCGGCATCAGCAAACTGGACATTGTCAAAATTGAATATAAACTTACAGGCCTATTAATTCCTTAATTGACCCCTATTCCTCAACCTATTGCTATTCTTACGGTTGCGCTCAGCCCGAAGCAAAAGAGGAAGTGAGGAACTAGTCCTCTCCTCCTGCCCACCTCCTCATCGCAGTTAGTGTGTGCCTCGAATATAGATGGGCTTCTTTACCAATCACCGGTCAGAGTACCGTAGACTACATAGACACTTCAATAGGCATAGTAAACCCATACCCTTTATATTATTATGTCTCACCCGGCACTATCTAGCCCATACGGGGATTGATTGTCGCATTCCTTTGGTGCTGGCGCCAGTGCCGGGCTCAGCAAACATGTTAGGTGTCCATACCTTCAGTATGGAATGCAATAATCGGGGACCGCTGCAAGGTGTCTAGTGTCTAGCAGCGAACGTTGCCTTCAGCAGGCACACCAACGTTTGTCACGAGGGACACAAGATTAGGATCATGATAAGCGAAAGCGACTCCCTTGCTGAATGTCCTGTCCTCACGTATCCCACCCTTAGGTGGAAGGGGACCAAAACAACACCGCACTGTGTGCGGTGTTGTTTTGGAACGTAACATAAGTAGATCACAGTATACATTTATTATATGTAGCTTCGCTCTAAGTAGAAATTCTAAGCACACCGCAGCGCAGCGGAGGTGTCCAGCCCACGCTATCCCACCCTTAGGTGGGGGGGGGGCTCCGCTTACCACCGCACGAACACCAGCTGCATCGGTATTTATCGCAGGGGATATCATAGCGCATGGATATCTCGGAAAGCACATTTTGGATCAATGAATAAATACGCCCGAGGCACGAGATAACAGTGGTACATCGTATAAGGCAATACGATTTACAGTGAAATTTCAATTATAAAGATCATTGTTTCGCAGCCAGTCATTCAGGATCGCAGCCGATACCAACAATCTCTTTTTCACTTTGCTGGAGGCGTATTGGCACAAACACGACACCAATGCAAGACAAGAGGCAGCGGCTCAAAAAAAGGCAAAAGTAAAAAAAGTACAAACGGGTTGCTATAACTTATGAGTATGGGTTGCGCGTTCTGAAATATTTTGATTCATCAACAATGGCGGCTACGGTTTATTTTTTCCAACTAGCAATTCTAACTCGAAACAAAGGCAGGTACACGCTTGGAAGAAGTAGAGCTGTCATATAGGCCAAGGTTGCTGGTGGTTCTCGTTACCATCAGCGTAACCGCACCCTCGGCATGAGTGCTACACTGTCAACGAAGGTAGAGGAACAATTAGTTGGATGGGAAAACGAGCCGAGAGCCGATGGTGTGGCTATGACGAGCATCAGGCTCAAGTTGCAAGCTCAGGAGCTTTACAGGACCAGCGGATCACGCAATGGGTGGTTCAAGGGCTCCCGGAGCTAGCGAAAGCATTTTCTGCGCCACCACAAGCTTTCTATTCGCCGCCGAACCCGAGAAGGGCAGTCTACACCGGCCGACGCCCAGCAGAAGGTGGATGGCTTCAGCGATTAAGCGTGTCTCAAGAAAGACGTGCTCTATGTTTTTGTTGTTTACAACGCTGACCAGACCGGTATGTATCAATTATATACAACGTGTGAGACGTGGGAATAACATTAGCTTCTAGGGGCCAGCTCCGAGTATGTGCCTACCTCTACAATCGCTACTCGCGGGGCGAAGCGTGTATGGGTCAAGTGCGCAGGAAAAGGCAAGAAGAGGGTGACGGCAATACGTTTGGCCGCAATCGACGGCTCCAAACGAGATTCTTTACTCGATTTCAAGACTCAACCATCGACCAAGCCCAATGTCACGAGGGAGAACAAAGTGATGGGCCACGGTATAGGGCGCAGACGTTGGGGCCAGGTCCACCCATTTCAACAAGGTGTCCACATTCAACAAGGTGTCCGTATTTACGGCAGTGCTACTGAGTGGTAGAATAGCGAGCTGTCTATTGAGTTTCTGTCTGTTTACTTCGGTCAGCGATCAAACATGCATGTGTCTATTCTTCTGCTCTGGGACGACTTTTCAGGGCACTGGCGGACATATGTATTAATCTTTGCTCGTCTCCTTAATGTCGTGCTAACAAAGGTGCTTCCTGGATACACATACGCGTGGCAGACCGCAGACGTAGCATGGAACAAATTACTCAAGAACTTCAAACGTAAGCCGTACCGCAGAGATACAGGTTAGCTGACCGTGTGCCTGGTAGCAGATATATACGCGCGCGACGGGTGTATCTATAACCACCCCCAGCTCTGATCTTGACCACTGTGAACAGGGCACTAAAGTACGGTACTGCGTAAAGACACATCGACTTGCCACATCCACTTGTATGATCTGCATTACCGCACACGTATTCGTGTCTACGTAGGCAGCAACGTATTCGTCGCATGTAGTGCTCAATTAATACTGTAGTTTCAATTTATGAGCGCACATTAGTGGAATATACGCTGTGAACATTGATGATAGATATAGCGATGTCTTGCCTTTGCCAAGTGAGCGAGTGTACGTGTGACGCGTATGCAGATAGGGGCGGTCAGCTTGTCGCTGTCCACAGCAGATACCCGGTGCTTATTATTCTTTGAAACGAGCTAAGCTATTTAGGAGTGTCAACACTACTGACTGCGCCATAGGCGGCTTGCCGTATGTGTGGCTCCAAACCTCGCACTGTAATCCGGTATACTAAATACAAAAATAGGTAGAAAAATGTTGGCCTAAAAGGGTATACTTACCGATTACTTGCTCTTCTGCTGCTTATTTTGCTCGATGTACTTGGCGTTTCGGGCGGTCGGCTTGCGAGGGCGGCTGCGCCTTTTCTTCTTCTTGGGGTACCGTTCAGGACCCATGGCTTTCTTGACGTTCGCCAGGCTTTTCTTGGGGCGCACGTCGGCCGAATCAGGTGGTGGGGGCTTTTCCTCCCAGGGCTCAACAGCTTTCGGGCCGTTCTCACAGGCAAAACAGCGCCGCACGATGTCCCGCCCGCTGATTTTACGGAATGCGTAACCGTACTGCAGCTTCCCGCAGCAGACGCAGTGCGCCCGGGAATCCGTCGTGGACCGCTGCGGGTTCAGCAGAAGCAGGATAATCTTGGCCTTGCACGTGGCCCTCGCCATGTTGCAAACTGTGAACAAACTATTATAATTACTAACGTGCGTAAAAATATCAGATATTCTAGCCTATATTCTGCTGGGTGTATATTATTAAACAAAACATTAAATACTATTATTATATCAGAAACATATTATGGTTTTAACCATAAAATACGTCAACGTATTTCAAGCTAATGCATGACCACTTAATGCGGGTACTCATTATGAAACAAAGATATTATATTTAAAATTTTGCAACCGCTTAAACAATGCTATTCTCATTTTTTCGAGCCAAACATACTTTAAAGCAATAGCAATGACTTGACGAGAGGTCACATCCCTTTAGCGGGAGCCCCTGCTCGACCGCGGTAGTGTTCAGCGGGATCACCAACTGCTCGACCAACGGCTCAATTGACGGGATGTACTGCTCGACTGCCATCGCATTCGTCTGCGGGAGCCACTGCTCGACTACCAGTTGGTCTACATCCCCGCGTCGCCGCGGGGATTCGCCAATTAACAGCACTGCGGAAGCCTTGTAGAGAGGGCCATCACTCACTCTGTGCACAACGTGCGTCGTGGATGACCGGTCCACGACGGTGACGTGAGGCCAATCCTTCTGGGTGCCCAGGAGGTGTATGAACACCTCGCTCACATCATACTCACTGCGACGCTTGACCGACCGGGCCAACCAGTCAATCTCTGGTTGAAAGGGCGTCAACCACGGCATACCCAGGATGCAGTCAAAAGCGTAATTCATTTAAACGACGAGGCAGTCGTCGTTGCTTCGGAAACCGTCGAACATGTAAGGAAGTGTAATATTGCGTCGCGCGACGCGGCATGATTTCCCGTCGGCCAACTTGACAGCGACCTCCCCTCTACCTTTGCGGACAGTGATGTCCGACGGGAGTACCGACAAGCACGACGCGCGGAAGAAGTTGTTCGTCACTCCTAAATCAAGGAGCGCTCGCAGTGGTCGCCGGGCGCCGGCTAAATGTAGACTGACAATGATCTATCTTAAATCGCTCGGCGTAGAGGTGGCATGAAAGTGTGCATGCAGCACAGGAGGGCTAGGAGGTTTGGTTGCCACCGGGGGGGCGAGACCTTCATTCCAGCCAGTAGGGCGCCCCACACCTACTGACCCTGACCGGTTTTTGGCTGAGCACAGCTCACGGGCTCGGCATCGACATGCGCAAGCACTGGAGCTGGCGCGCGGCACTCCGCCGCCCGATGACCGACCTTCCGGCAACGGAAGCAGGTGAGAGAACGACCGTTCCGAACACCGTTCCGACGCGCTACATGACGCTGACGATTGGTCGTCGCATCGATAGCGTCGATGTCCATCGGCCCGGGCGCAGATTCCCGAGCTGAAGTGGGCAGCACGTGAGCGTATGACGCCGCAACCACGTAGTCCTCGCGCAATGCGAGGGCAAATGCCTCTTCGAGTGTAGAGGAGTCCGGTCTTGTAAGGCAGTAGCGCGTCGCGCCTTCGCGCATACCGAACACGAACACTTGAACCTGAGAGGCCATATCAATGGGCTTGGACACGACACACGACACGAGATGTCGTGTCTTCTGGATATAGTCGCGCATAGTCATCGTGCCTTACCGAAGGGCGAAGAAATCTGCCCGAATTCGGGATTCATCATGCAGCGGCTCGAACGCGAGCCGAAGGTCACTTTGGAGGGTATCCAGAGTGGGGAAGGCGTTGGGGTCGACGACCAATTTGCCGAGGGTCCATTCCTTGGCTTTCCCAGACAGCCGCGAGAGGAGGAAGTGGACCTTCGAAGAAGGCGCCTTGATAAACCTCGAGGCGATGGCTATGTCATTCTCGCGAAACCAGCGATCCAGCGGAAGTCGTCTGTCCGGCACAGGAGTACGTGGACGTCTCTGGCTTCACGACGTCATTCGTGGAGATATGCGAGGGAGTTGACAATCGCCGATTCGCATCGGCGAGCTCGCGTTCCATGAATTCTTTTGCCACAACGCGCTGCTCGTCGGGCGTCGCTGAGCGCAGCAGCGACGTGACGACGGCTTCTCCGGACACCGCCGCGAGACGGTGGAGAGCTTCCCACTCTATCGGGGGAAAACAGCGCGGTCGAGGTCTTGCCTCATGTCGAACTTTGTCATTGGAAGGACTACTAAGTGCTATTAGGTGTAACGAGCCAGGTATCTACTCCGTTGCTTGCTTACACTATAGTGGTGAGGAAGCTCGCAATAGGACGACTGAGGCTTAGGTTTACGGAAAATCAACTCTGACTTTATTTTAGGACCAAGGCCACAACCCTGGGCACTCAAATACACGCCAAAGGCCAATTGGCTAATAATGGGTCTGGCTCCCCATATATCAGCCAATGGTATGACGGCATTTCAGCACACGCTAGTCGTGTGCTGATGCACCTACTTATGTAAAGAAATCTACCTACTTATGTAATGGAGGCGCCCATTACAAAATGCCACTCGGAAAGGATCAACACCACTCTGTCAGTCAGTAGCTATGCATATAAGTCAGTAAGTGCGTCAGCTATGCAAGTAAGATCAATGCATGCGGAAGATAGTGGAAATACTCTTCACTAATATCATAAATAGCTCAGCGGAACTTAATATTGGTGTTTGTGGCGACCATCTGCAAAACCTTCCTGTCCCAAAAGATACTTCGCGCGAGGAGCTGACCAAACCTTGCTCTAATAGACCGTCGTAATCAATGATATGCCTTCGACTGCCTCACGGTGATGACATGACAGATGGTATAATGTTTGAGAAGGCGTATTTACGCCAGCTAAACTGGGATTACTCACCGATCTATGCCACATTTGGATCATCATTAATAGTGACATGTCTTTTGAACAGTATGTATTACATTTGCAAACACCCGCGCCTCTAATTGGCGTCATTTTGGGAGCTATGCACTTAAATGAGATTATAGATAAAACCTTCCCTGGTAAGATGGTGATCATCTTGCAGATCACGTTAAATCCTGGTCACGTCTACCATAACATGTGAACAGTAAGAATATTGTCTGCAGTGTTGTTTAGGAACGTAGCATAAGTAGATCATAGTATGCATATATTATATGTAGCCTCGCTCTAAGTAGATATTTGAAGCCCACCGAAGCGCAGCGGAGGTGGTCAACCCCTACTACGTCAATAAACCATGTCCTAGCGTCCGCGGAGCGGGCGTCCAGAGTGCTAGTCCTAAACTATCAAGGCTAGCACGGTGTCCCCGTCACACGAAACGCTCAATTTTTTAGCCTTCCCATTGGCTGCCGAGCGGTGCGAAGGCGGCTTCGATTGGTAAAAACGGAATTATGTAGCTTACATTAATATTTTATCGTGGTTCACAGAGTACATATGGCGAAGTGCACAAGGCTATCCCCGAACGCGGCATCGTTTTAAGTATTTAATTTTTTAATAACGCATGTGGCTTTTAACATGTGAGTTCGAAACAGACAGAGCTACTTATTCTCAAATGAAAAAGCTCCCTCAAGACACTCTCTAAGCTGCAAGGTGCTTAGCGTACGCGTAGTAATGCGTGCTTTTTTATACTATACGTATACTCTCTACTTAATAGTTTATGCAAGTTACAATTACTTTAATAACTACAACTATTTTGTTGTAGATATATTACTAAATTATCTAAGAGTGAGGTAGCTGACTGAGCCGCCAAATCGTAGTACATGTACAGCAGAAACTGAACGTAAGAACTGGCCGTAAGAACAACCCTGCAAATACACGTTATCACTTGAGACATAAAGATAATTGAGCTCTTATGTGTTACAGCTGTAAACCATTGTTTTCTAAGCGCTGTTTAGACAACAAAGTCCGATACTACTTTACTGGCGGACGTGTCGTCGACAGGGGCGTTGAATACGAGTTTAAATGGAGCGGCAAGACAACAACAAAACCCGAGAGGTGAGAATTATAGTTGGTTAAATAGACCCCATAAAGAAATGTAAATAAACTTGGAGCCTAAATGGCGTTTAGCCATCTTGATATTTATCGGTAAACTATCAATTAAATAGCACTACCGCCAACAACAACAGCAACAACAACAACTGCAAGGAGTCTTGCGACACATTATTCAAATGCTTTAATCATAACTGGCACGAACGCTGCATGCATAAAATAAATTGCAATTTGAATATTTTCTAGCTTTCATTGAGTTTTGTGTGAG